GTCCCTGTTTTGAACAACTGGTAATCTTTATTAAAAATAAAGATAGTGAGACAGCTAATAGTTTCACAGTGATATTATCTACATAGACACTGCGTCATGGATATATATATAGTTTTTATAGGGTTGTGTGTTGTATGATCACTACCTAATGTGGTGAAAAAACATAGGAAACTGTTCACTACAGATTAGTAAGTAAGCACAAGTAAGCCTGTGTTTACCTTGGTTATTGGGCACTCTGTCTCGGACTGTCAATTTGAAAAGAGGCTTTGATTCTGTAGGAGGTTGCTGTGGGGTTGGGAGAGAGACAGATGCCAGCCATCCCTAGAAGCAAAATCTTTGATGTGGTATAAAAAAAGTGAGACTGGTCGCTTCGATTAGTAAGTAAGCATAAGTAAGCCTATGCTTACTTTGGTTATAGGATAATCTGACACTGGCTTTGGGAACACTACTACACCCCCTCTCCTAGTCCACATGACGGAGTGGGGCTGATTCCTCCATCCCAGTGTAGGGCACAGGACCTAGGCCTGAGCTTTCTATTGCATTCCACATCCTTGATCACAGACCTGGTTTGGGGATGGGCACAGACATCGTTTGAGCTGGTGAAAGAGAATAAATCCTGTGTCTTTGGTGCAAGTCACCAGAAATGTTTTTCTGTTTTGCTTAACTGAGTATTATGATGATGTAATCCTGGAGTTGCTGGAGGCCACACCTCACCACAGGAGCCTGAGAAGAAGCTGGGCCAAGAAATACGCTACTTTTTGAGCCCAGGATCATGCTGTTCCTAAAGACGGACTTTATATTTATGTTAGCTAACACATTTCCTTTTCTTCCTAAGCCAGTTTGGACTGAGTTTTCTTTTATAACCAAAAAATTGCTCCAAGATTCAGAGTCCCTCCATCCTTACCCCATCACCAACTCGCTTTCCCTGTGAAACACCAACTCTACAGCCTACTAAAATAGCTAAACTCCGGCTGTATATAAACATACAGTACGTGAAACTTGAGGCCCTTGCCTGGGTGTAGTGTTTCAATTGCCAATCAGTTTTCAGGAGTGGGAAATAAAGCTGGGGTGGTACTATGTTGTGACCTTGGCCAGACAGACCCATTTTCTTTAACTTTCTTCCTTATTATCTAATTTCCATCCTTTAACCATCCGTGGGGATCTCCTTGGAAAGATTTTCAAACAGGTAACAAAATACCTTTGGAAGTTATGAGCCTTCAAGAGGCTCCAACACTGTGGCCATCTGAGGCTCACCATCCACTTATATTTGCCTAAGTGTCCACCTAATGCTGGCCCCACAGCACAGGAGCTCCATCCCTTGT